GCGAGCTCCTGGGACGGGGACGGGGCGGCGGGCGGGCAGTGCGGGCGGCTGCCGCTTGTGGGAGACGAGGGGCCACATGTCCAGCAACGCGGCGCGAGTCGAACGCTGGTCTTGAAGGGACTTCGGATCCGCAGAGGGGCTGCGGAGACGACTGCAGTTTTCTTGTGATTCCCACAGACTTGTAGACCCCGTGCTTGGGTCGCGTGCATTCGAGTGAGTAACTCGGCAGGAGGAGCGCGCAGGGTAAACGGGTCTCCCTGCGGAGCTCGGGCCACCAGTCACCGGCCTAGCCTCTCCCCAGGCAGCTGCGGCGCTGCCTCGGCCCGGGTGGGCGTACACACCCCACTCCACACTCTGTGTGTGTCTGGTTTATTTAAGATATGTCGAAGAAGTGGTGAAGAAATGTGCAAATGTGGGACCCGAGAGTGAGACCCTGGGAACGTGGAACTGTCCTTTTACTTTGCTGAGGTGTGTCGCTGTCATCAAAGACTTTGCCTTCTGATTGAGACAGCTGACACTTTCTGAGTAACGTAGACTCAGTTTTGTCTTGGGCTGCGAGAGATGAGAGCTCCTCTGGCCAGACACCAATCCCTCAGCTGTCATCTCTGTTCTCTCTTTGCAGACAAGTTACTTTAAGGACTTGCCCAAAGCCCACACGGCCTGTGAGGGGGCTCTGAACGGGATGACGTTTTATGTGGGGCTGCAGGCCGAGGACGGGCACTGGACGGGTGATTATGGTGGCCCGCTCTTCCTCCTGCCAGGTAAGAGCCTGCTGCCTCAGCCTGAGGGTGAGGCCACCCTGGGTCATCCTTGGGGTCCTGGCCCAGCCTGCTCTAGGCTTTTAGTGAAGTAGCTGAAAACCCAGGGAAACCCATGGGGAGAAGGGTTGGGGAGGGTTGCCCCATGTCTGTGTCTGAGTCGTCCTGCTGTTGGTGCTAGGGGATAGAAATAGAGGCGCAGCTAGCCCTGCCCAGTATAGGGTGGTGACAGGCACTCTGATAAGGGAAGCTAGGGATTATCTGTGGGGGGGTTTGGGGGGTGCGGCAGGATAGGCTCTTCAGTCTCACTACAAAGTGGGAAGGGCATCTATGCCCGGGTGCTGTAGGTGGGCAGGGTGGTGAGTGGGGAGCTGGTGTCCACTGTGAGTGCTATGTGAGCACATCCTCTGTGAACTCACCATGAAGGGATGGCTGAGGGAGCTACTGCAGGGGAGCCTCAGGTTCAGGCTGTGAGGAGCACAAGGACTGGAGTTGGACCCCCTGGTGCTGAACTGGTCTGGATGGACAGCTCTATTTTGCATCCTGGGAATGTTTCTTTACTGAAACAGCCGTGTGATAGGGGAGATTCCCTCCAATGGATTTATGCAGCGGGACCCTTTTCCCCAGTGACTTGTTAATTGCATTCTTTTAGTGACCTGGATTCTTATGTAAATTAGAGTTTGTTTTTGTGATAACTTATTGATTTGTGTTTTCTTTTACTACGCTGTGTAAATAATTATAACTTTATAGTAGATTTAAAGATCTTAGATCCTTTTATTGCCTTTTTTTTTTTTTTTAAACATCTTAGTTGTGTCTGCCTATCTACTGTCCAAATTGCCTTTATCCTGATTTGGTCGAGTCCTGGAGTAGAGTGTGTTGGGACTTTGAACACAGTTGCAGCAGGCCTGTATGAGAATACTTCACAAAGTACATGGAAAGATACCTTTCAATTCTGTTTTTCCATGAACTTTTTGAAGCACCTTCATGTGTTAGTTTGGGAAGAGTTGTCCTTTAACGTTAGAAACACTTTCGTGGTGTTTACTGCGGGCCAAGCCCTGATATAGGCCCGTTCATACTTCAGTCTTTAGAACAAGCCTAACTGGACTTATGAGGAAGTCCAGGCACACTTGTTCCTGGTCACACAGCCAGGGGAGGAGCACTGGGATTCTGCTGGGCTCCTGTCTCTGCTTTGACTTTGAGCCCTGTTGCTCCCTGGACTGTATAGCATCGTGACTTTCCATCCTGGGACGTGAGGCCTGTCCTTGACGTGAGTCAAGGGGCTCTTTCTTCCTTTGGCCCTACTTGGGGCCTGCTGAAACTCTTCCCAAGAGTCTTCGTGGGGAGGCAGTGAGATGGAGTTGGTCAGGAGGTAACATGACCTCATTTTGTCTCTGCAACCTCTTCTGTGACATGAGGATGATTAGAATCAGGTTTGGTCATATGTGCACAGTATCAGACACACAGAAGGTGCTCGGTCACTGGGGTTATTGCGTTGTTCTGGGCTTGCTGCTGCAGCTCTGGGCTTGTCCTGCTGGGGCTCCTCTCCTGGGCAGGCTGTGGGTAGGGGCTTTTTCTCTCCCCTTTCTGGACTCTGTTCAGACCATCTTTCTTGCGTGGACTTAGGCCTGTCCTAGGGTGCTGTACCAGTGTTCTTCCACGACAGGTCCTTCCTTTTCCTGTTGTAATTTGGAAAATGCTCCTGGAGGCCATGATCCTGTATAGACAGTTCCCCATCAAGTGTGGCCCATGTGGCATTGAGCGGCCCTGTGGTGAGCGTTGACTGCAGTCTGATCCCCTGGGCTCCAGCCCCACTGCTTACTGGCTGTGCCTGTTTCCCTGCATGTAAAATGGGGAAGACACTGGCTCTCCTCCTGCCTGTACGTGTTTCCCTGTCCTAACAGCATCATCACTATTATGAAAGATGCAGTTGTTTTGGGATGTGTTCTGTGAACGTGTATGGCATCCGAGTCCATCTGTCGTTCTTCCAGTGTGTGTCTGTATGTGGTGTGTCCGCCAGGGCTCCTGATGTCTCTGAGCCAGAATCAGGCATCTGTTTGACGGTGCATTTGGCTGGGGTCTGCCCTGAGACCCACCCTGTGCTGCGGGCACATGGCCAGTGGAGCCCAGCCATAGAAGGTGGGGGTGGGGGTGAAGAGTGGCCTGTGAGCACCATGCCCAGAAGACCAGGCTGGGAACAGAAGGTTCTTCGTGGGTAGTATTTATCACTGTCACCACCCCCAACCCTCTGACATTTGTAAAGTGGTATATGCTTGTAAAACGTTTAGAAAGCAGAAGAAGGTAAATGAGAAGTAACTATCAACCCATCCAGGGTGACCCGTTTGAAGTTTCTTTCCAGCAGGTGTTAAAGCAAGACAGTCTCCCGTCAGGGGGGCCCACTGATCTTAACCACTGGTCCCTCTTGGAACTTCAGGGCACTTGGGAGAGGCCTCCCTGAGGTGCCATGCAGTGTTTGGTTTTCCTCTGTCCCAGACAGTGCCATGGGAGCCAGGCGTGGCCAGGTGGGCTCTGCATGCCCTTGGCAGGAGTGACACCTGTGCTACTGCTGGTGCTCCCCCACGCCCTGTTCTGAAAGTCCTGATTGGGACCCAGGAGGAATGGCCTTCCCTAGGCTATTCCTCAGGCAGCTCCCTGTCAGAGTGGGGTTCTCAGGGGGGAGGAGCCTGGGCTTAGCATGCTGAGTGCGTGCTCCCAGCAGTGGACATCTTTCCTGTCACACAGGCCTCCTGATCGTGTGCCACATGGCACATATCCCTCTGCCAGCTGGATACCGAGAAGAGATTGTGCGGTACCTGCGGTCAGTGCAGCTCCCTGATGGTGGCTGGGGCTTGTAAGTATTCCTGCCCCTGTGTCACTGCACATGTGTGGACATGTGTGTGTGCATGTGTTCTTGTGTAGGAGATGCCTGGGTTTCCAGGCAGCTGTTAAGGAAGGGCTGGGGTCACTGCACCCACGAGCCTCGGGGGAGTGGGGTGGAGGAGCCTGGCAGGAGGAAGCGGGCTGGAAGCTGTGCAGGCTGGGCCTCAGCTTCACACCTTGTGTTGTAAATGGGTTTTGTGGCTGGTTGGGAAACCCTTGAGACCCACATGCCACACTCACTAAAAACTGCCAATCTGTTATCACTGCGGTAGAAAAAAATTGCACTTGATTCTGGGGTGGCAGCAGGTGGAGGCGGGCCGGGCAGCCTTCACATCTCACTTTGCTTTCCTGCTGTATGGCACGCACTCTGGGGGACGGGCCTCACCCTCATGGGCTCCTCTTGGACCAGGTGCATGACTCAGGCCTGGGGAGTGAGCTGCTGAGTGGGGCAGGTCCTGTGGGTGGTTTTGGGACTGCTCAGTCGTCCTGGGAGGTGCATGAGCACTGACTGCACCTTGGGTGTTTTCTGTGTTGTCACATCAGTGTAAGGTATTTCAGCATTCTTAATTTTCTAAGGAAACTTCACTGAAAGTGTTGCTTCATTTCTTAGTAAGGACAGATGTCATTTTCTCACCGGTCTCCTGCTCCTATAGGCATCTTGAGGACAAGTCCACAGTGTTTGGGACTGCGCTCAACTATGTGTCTCTCAGAATTCTGGGCATCGGGCCAGATGATCCTGACCTGGTACGAGCCCGGAACCTTCTTCACAAGAAAGGTACATACTGCATAGCATGTGCTAAGTAAAGGGGTCAGGTCACCTTGGCTTAATGAGCTCTTGCAAAAGAAAAACAAAAATGCACCTCCAGTTAAAACATGGGGCAAAGCATGCGAAACGGAATTCGTCCCTGCATCTTCCCAGGGAGCCGCTGCCTTCATGTGCTCTTTCCTGGGGCAGAGGCTGCAAACACCTCTCCTGGGGCTGGACGCACTTGCTCCCAGGAAAGCCGCTGGTTCCATCCAGCTCTGTGTGTGGGGCAGTCCCAAGCAGCTCTGGAACCTGCTCCTGTGGGCATTGTAGGATCTGCAGCAGGCTACCTCATTTCACAGGAGCAGGGGCACACATAGCTCCTGGGGGGTTAATCTTCACTGTGGGAAGCAGGGCTGGCTCTGCTGACAAGGGACAGATGACATGGGCCTGTTTTCCCCCCAGGTGGAGCTGTGGCCATCCCCTCCTGGGGGAAGTTCTGGCTGGCTGTCCTGAATGTTTATAGCTGGGAAGGCCTCAACACCCTGTTCCCGGAGATGTGGTATGCTTGCCCTCTGCCATTGATGTAGTGGCTGGGTCACCACTGCCTTCCTGAGGAGTAGAAAGATGGGGACCGTGGGCCACACACTGGCTGTTACACAGAGAAGCATGGTTGTTCTTTGGGTGGGGTGGAGTTAGTTATGCTCTGTGCAAAGGCCGTGATGAGCTGAGTGCTACGGACATGTGGACAAAGAGTTCCCAGTCAGGCAGGAGGGAGGAAGGACTGGCTGTTACACAGAGAAGCATGGTTGTTCTTTGGGTGGGGTGGAGTTAGTTATGCTCTGCGCAAAGGCCGTGATGAGCTGAGTGCTACGGACATGTGGACAAAGAGTTCCCAGTCAGGCAGGAGGGAGGAAGATGCTGTAGAGGAAGCACCCTGAGTTAGGTGGCAGGACTGGGGCAGGTGGCGGGTGGATGGAGTGCTGTGGGATGATCACAGAACCCCTGTGTGGTGTGGTAGGTAGCTCGGGCTTTGTCAGTTAGATGACTGATGGCATCGTGTTGTGTCGTTGTGGAAAATGTGGGGCGTGTGTGGGACTAGAGGAAAGAGTGTGCCCTCCCTGTTAGTAGCTGAGGTGCGCGGCTCATCTTGTCTTCATCCTGCTGGCTGGGGAAAGCAAGTCCCTCCCTGGGGAGGAGTCATCCCTCACCCATGAGCACTTCAGTGTGTATCTTTAAAAAACACATACTGTTTAAATACCCGGCAAAATCGACACTAATTCCTTATTGTCTGATATTTATGACCAGTGTCTTTTAACATTTTGCGATCATCTAACGAAGGCTGTGGACATCTCCGCAGAAAGCACTCCTATCTGTATAAGTTTAACCCCAGCCTCACACACATTGGGAGGTAAGACTCCCAGGTCCATGAAGAGCTTTTGCACAGCCTCTGCTGTCCTCCTGGAGAGTTGCAGAAGCAGAGTTGGGGTCCCACATGGAAAGCTGTTGGACTGGAGTTGGGGTCCATGGAGAGCCACAGAACTAGAGTTGGGGTACCCCTTGGAGAGCTATTGGAGAGAGTTGGGGTTCCCCATGGAGAGCCACAGGAACAGGGTTGGGATCCCCCATGGAGAGCTGTTGGACTAGAGTTGGGGTCTTCCATGGAGAGCTGCAGGAGTGGAGTTGGGGTCCCCTGTGAAGAGCTGTGGGAGTAAGGTAGGGGTCTCTTGTGTTAGATGACTTTGGTGAGGGGAGGGTGGAGTCAGGGGGAGATGGAGGTGAATGGGCCTCTCAGGAGGAGACAGCAGGGTCCTGATACAAGGGTGAGATGTGACCTCCACAGCCAGGTTGTGTGCTGAGGAGTAGAGGGCTAGACGGGGTGGACGGAGCTGCCCATGTGTTGGGGAGGGACCACTGAGGTGGGTCATGCAGGGCAGAGATAGATAGATGTCCTGGAGTCATTCTGTTGTCCTGCACTGGCAGACTTGCCTGGGTAGTAGGGTATGGGTGCAGGTGTGGTGTTGTGGGAGAAAGTTTTGTCTGCCCTGTAAAAGGTGGGCTCAATCAGTCAGTGCTGGGCTGTGTGGTAACTAGGGTGCAGCTGGAGTTGCTTTAGGGGCAGGTCACAGGGTGTGGGATGGAGGACCAGAGACGCTGAACTGCTTTAGCTGCAGAAAAGCTAGAAATGTTATCCATAATTTAAAAAACACCTTTTAAATGAGTGGATGAGCCCTCAAGAAAGTAGAAGTGATCTGAGGCCTGACAGTCATGATCAGAGGGAGATAGGAGGGTATGCTCAGCTCTGCTCAGCTTCCCGGGACTGTCACACACGAGGACAGAGGTGTGAAGAGAAAGGGTGGGAAAAACATCAGGTACACACTGAGACAGCGAACAGGCACCCAGGCCTCAGGAAGATTCAACAATTCTAAGGTTCTTGAAATAGACTTTTTAAAATAAACGTTTAATTTTGGAATAGTTTTTGATATCCAGAAAAGTTGCAAAGATATCCTACCCCAGAGCGTTCCATAGGCCCCTCACCCCCTTTTCCACTGTTTAAGTTTTACATTACTGTGGTACGTTTGTTGTAACTAAGAAACCTACAGAGAATCCTAAATGCCTTTAGAGTATAAAATGCTGCCTGAACCAGGAGGATCGTCAGTTCCCTTGGACAGTATGTCCGTGGGGTTTGATCGCACCCCACAGGAGCACAGCTGTGAGGTGCCAGCGGCTGTGCCGACGTGGTGGGGAAGGGACATCCACCCTGTATCCACACTTGGAAGGACATAAGACATCGATGGGGTGTGAGGGGGTGATGGGCAGGCTTGTGTCCTGGGGGTCTCCCACTGATGCATGCTGTCCCTCTAGGCTATTTCCTGACTGGGTGCCTGCACACCCCTCCACGCTCTGGTGCCACTGCCGGCAGGTCTACCTGCCCATGAGCTACTGCTATGCCACCCGTCTGAGTGCCTCGGAGGACCCGCTGGTCCAGAGCCTCCGCCAGGTGAGCCCTCTGACCTCATAGGACCTTGTCAGGGATATAACTGTGTGTACCCATGCACCCGGGGGCCCTGCAGACCTGAGAAGCTCCTGTGAGCAGAGTGGAGCCACCACCTCCTCTGTCCTGTAAGCAAACAATAAGGGGCTGCCTGAGGGCCCTGTGCTGTGGGACAGGAAGTGCTTTGCCTCGGAGGAGACTGGGTCCTCATAGAGTGCAGGGCATGGGTGCCCAGCCCTGAGCATAATCCTGACCGTGTTCACAGTTGTGTCCTTGAGAAGCAGGCCCTGAGATGGGGTTTGGGGTGCAGGATGTTTATTAGGCTGTGCCCTTGGGAAAGAGGAGGAGGCAGAGGGAGGAGATGAGCTTCGGGGCAGGCCTGGGGCTCTCAGATGGGTGGCTCCTCAGGGTGGTGGCAACTTGGTTGGGACGGCCAGGCCTTCATACCATGCTGTGATCAGTCACTGGATGTGCTCCCACCCCTGGGGAGGGGCATGACCCAGGGCCCTGAGGGCTGGCAGGTGGAGGCTGCTTTTCCTGGCCTGAGCCAGGAAGGTGTGTCCACTGTCCCAGTGCTCAGGTGCTGCCCCACCCCCCAGGAGCTTTACGTGGAAGACTTTGCCAGCATTGACTGGCCGGCGCAGAGGAATAACGTAGCCCCTGGAGATGTGTACACGCCGCACAGCTGGCTGCTCCGTGCAGTTTACGGTGGGTGCCTCTGGTGGGGTGGCTGGGCCCGGGGCAGTGTGTGGTCAGGGGTGGTGCTCATTCGTTCCCCCATCCCACCAGGGGCCTGGAACGCCCTGCCCCTGCAACACTGACAGCCACAGGGCTGGATCTCCACTCTCGGGAGCCCACCCAAAACACCACCATGCAGGGGCGGGGCAGGGCAGGGCAGTGGGAGGTGTGAAACAGCCCTTCCCGGGCAGAGGCGACCTGGGGGTGAGTGGAAGGCGGGGGAGCCACAGGGAAGGAAAGGCCCAGATGCTGTATAGTGCGGGGACTCCAGGCTGAGGCCGGGATCCTCTTGGTGTCTGCCTGCTGACGTCCTCTGCTTCCCTACAGCGCTCCTCAACCTGTATGAGCGCCACCATAGTGCCAGTCTGCGGCAGCGGGCTGTCCAGAAGTTGTATGAGCACATCGTGGCTGATGACCGCTTCTCCAAGAGCATCAGCATTGGCCCGGTCAGTGCCCAATGGCAGCCCCTGGGGGCACAAGGACCCAGGACAGAAGCTTTAGAAGCTGGTCTCTGTGGAGCTGGGAGTGAGGTCTCCCCAAGCTTGGGGCACCTCCACTGGGGATGTGGCCCTGTAATCTCACAGGCGTCTGGAAGATTCCCGTCCTTGTGCCCTGCACCCTGGCCTTGGTGAAGTTGCCCAGCTGTGCTTGGCTCTCCGTCCTATCCATACTACCTGGCCTTTGCCTTGGTGTGTCTGGACACCTGCTCCAAATCACCTCCTGAGACCTCTCTGGCCACCTGGGAGGGGTGCTTTTCCTCCCTTGACCCTCTCCCAATACCCACCTTAAATAATCCACCAACTGCCCTTTGATGGGGTTTAGATGTGCCCGGGGTGGGTGAGAATAGCAGGGCTCTTGGGTTCCATTCCTGGTTTCTGCTGCCCACACGGGACTTGGAGTTGTCACCCCTCTCAGGCTCGGGCTCCTGATCTTGCTTTGCCACCTAGGGCTGTGGCCCAATGGAGGTCAGGTGTGGACATGCTCAGTGACCACTGAGGTGCATATGCCTGGGCCTGCTGTGAATGTGCCTGCTGGCAGTTGTGACACATCCCCGTCTGGGCCATGACAGTGGCCATTGTGTTGTGGTCGGCCATGGGTTCTCTGGATAGACCCAGGTAGCACCACGTCACTGAGTAATGCTCCTGACGCTGCACCTGGGGTTACCCCAAGTCATGAATTGTCACTGACCCAACAGCGGCACACCTGTGTTCTTTTCAGCAGAGATGTGGTTCTCTGTGCGCTTTGACTTAATGTAGTGCATGTCTACACTCGACTCAAGCTAGAAACATGGTTGTAATTGGGTCTTGACTTGTGAGGTCCTTAAGTGGGAGGTCTGGTGCATCCAGAACATTCTGCCCTGAGGAAGAAGAGGAGCAGGTGGTCCCTGTTGCTCTGGTCTTGTCTCCACATCTCTCCTTATGCTCCTCAGACCCTGTTTGATCCCCTGAGTTGTCTTGAAGGAAAACTCTTCATGTCTGTCGCCCCACCGCCCATGTTGCCTCATACTGGAAGCCTCCCTCCCTTCTCCCCACCAAAGTGCCCTGTCCCTTCCCAGACCCTTCACTGCCAAGCCAGGCTGTGATCTCCAGCAACACTGGTCTCTGAGTCATGTCCTGGGGACGTGCCTGTTAACACAGGAGGTACCCTGGCCTGGCCGTGGAGAGAGGCTGTGCGGGGCCTCGTGCAGGGCTGCTGTGGATCTGGAGCAGAGCCCTGACAGGCTTGTATCTCCTGCAGATCTCGAAAACCATCAATATGCTCGTGCGCTGGTATGTGGATGGGCCGTCCTCCTCCTCTTTCCAGGAGCACATCTCCAGGATTCCTGATTACCTCTGGTGAGTGTGGCTGAGATGTGCCCAGTGAGACAACACTGAGAACTGACTTCAGACACGCCTCGGGTTCCAGTGAGGGGGCGTCGCAGTTCCATGGTATCTGGGAATAGCATGAGGAACCAGGAGGAGTGCAGGGTTGTCGAAACTGGGGAGGGGTGTCTTAAAATTGAAAGATTTGCCACCTTGCAGAAACTTTGGGTGGTTCCGGAAGATATAATTTGGAGGAGTGTGGGTGGGCAGGTGTCTTGGTCCATATTGGTTGGTGTCAGGGAGGCCTGTTGACAGGCAGAGCTTGTCAGCTGTGGACTGTCCTCTGGAGGTGCGACTCTTGCACGGAGGGAACACAGAGCAGGTCCCACGAAGGGAAGCCCTGCACTCGTGGAGGCCCTTGCCACAGCACTGCACAGGATGGCAGGGCTGACTGTGGCTGGGGAGCCTCCCTCTGCCGCTCAGCTCAGGTTTGCCCCTTCTGGGTGAGGTGCTGCCACATCTCCTGCTGAGCGTAGCACTCGTGCTGTGGGCCCAGCAGGGCCGTGCCAAGGTTGGCTCCAGGCCTCGGGGAGAAGGGCACAGGAGTCCCCATGGGAAGACCCTGCGGCATGCCTGGCATGGGCTCTGGGTGGCCAGCCAAACTTCCCAGCCTGTCTCCTTGTCCCTGACTTGGGCTTTTCTTGTCCTCACAGGCTGGGCATCGATGGCATGAAGATGCAGGTGAGGGTTGCAGGACCATACTGCCTGTTTCCTCTGCAGCCATTCCTCTTCTTTATTCTTTATCTTTCTGGGTTCATTAAGATAAAAAAATAACTCTCAATATGAGTTGTGGCAGCATGTGACAAGAGGCTGCGTCCTCCCTCCAGTCCCTCAGGGTCAGTGTGAGTTCCCTGTGCCTCTTGGGTGTGGCCGGCACACCGCCTGGTGTCGTGTGTTCCCCTGCAGCTTCTTCATTTGTCTCTGGCCCTATTGGTCAGAGTGGCTGGACTGTCAGGTTGCTAGAGGCTCCACTTCCCCAACCGCTGGCTCCTGGTGTGGCCCTGGGGGTTGCCTCCGCAGCCACGAGCTGGTAGGAGCCTGGAGTCCAGTGGTGGCTGTGGCCAGGCCTGGAAGCTGCATGAGGACTTCCATTCTCAAATGGGCTGGAACCCAGTCTGCAGGGCACCAAGTTCAAGGGAGGGGATGTGTAGCCACGCCCAGGGGGAGAGGAAGAGGTGGGTTTTGCTAGACCCTCAGCCACATAGCGTGTGTGGCCTCTTTCCGGATCCTTCGCAGGTCTTTAGCTTACAGGTGGACCAGAGCAGATGTGTTCCTTTCTGGGCAGCGACATCTGACCTGGGTCCTTGGTACTCTCAAGGTCATGGGAGAGCAGAGGGTCTGTGGCCACCCTGTAGGGGAGGGCCCAGGGCTTCTGTCAGAATTTTCAGAGGTCCATAGACCAAAGTAGGGAAGAACTGCAGGCCAGGAAGGGATGCAGGTCACGTGCAATTCTCAGTGGACCAGGCCAGCATTCTGCTAGGAGACAGCTGACATCAGAGGCAACCAGACTGGGGCTGCATCCCAGAGCCATCTGACTGCTGTTCCAGGCCAATGTGGTGGTGATTTCTTTAAATCAGTGCGCTAACAGATAAAATTCAGAAGTACACTTTGGGAATTGAGGTAGGAAGGGAATCTGCCAGCGTCAAGCGCCTGCAGAGCCCTCTCTGAGGGTGGCTCATTGCCTGCACCCCCAGTTCCATGTGGTGCTCTGACCTGGTCCTGCTATAGACACGCTGCTCCACAGCTGGGGACAGTTTGGTTCATTCCAACATTCAGGTGTTTGTAGGTGATGTTCTTCTCATGTGTGACCGTGGGGGCAGGAGTGCTGGATTCAGGGTGGGATGCTGGTCCTGTCCCGGGTCTGGGGTTGGTGGCCCCGTCCCTTGTGAGTTCACCTTGTGGGCATATCAGAAACCCAGATGGGTGCCATTCTGTGTCTTGCCTTCGCTGAGGTGACCCTGTGGGGTCTGTCTGCTTTCATGACCTGGTGTGGACATGTGGAGGTTCCCGAGGTGTCCTAGAATCACACCAGTGACAGGAGCACATGGGCCCAGCACTGCCCACCCCAGAGCTCCGCTTGGTGTCAGGAGGCCTCAGCCACCCGGACCTAAGCTCCCATCCCAGATCCCTGGCTGCCCTCACTGTCGATCTTTTGTCAGAAGGTTTTCAAAACATATGCAAAGTAGAGGAGAGTGAGGAGTCCTCAGGCGGGCACCGGCCTCCCCGTCCCCACTGGACCAGCCCGCAGGCGGGCACCGGCTCTCGGCATGTTCACAAAGTCCCTGTTATTGTCGCAGCCACACACTTAACAGCGGCTCCTGAGTTTAGTCCCTGTTCCCGTCTGTTTGTACTTGGTTTGTTTGAGTCAGGATTCCAGCTAGGTCCACACAAGCATTTGGTTGTTGGTCTATGAAGTTGCCGTAGTCTGTCACAATGTCCCGTGTGCTCTTCCCTCCTGGACTGTCAGTCCCTAAAGGGCTCCAAATTCCACATCTGACTGTGGCTCCCTTTGTACCCCTAGTATGAGGCCCTGAGGCATGATCCCAGGGGTTTCTTTTCTGGTGCGAACCCTTGCTTTGTGGTGCGGGTACTTCCTGTGCAGTGTCCCTGCAGGACACGATGCCTGTGCACCTCTTCCATACCCCCACCCCACCGTCTGCGTGGCTGTTGAGGTCACTGTCAGCTCTCTCTCCCTGGGGTTAGGCCACCAGCTTTCTGAATCGAGACCAGTGTTGACCCTTGAGCCAGGTTCCCAGGGTCGGATTTGAGGCCCCAGCCATCCTCTCAGCTGGGTCCCACCACCTCAGGCATGCTCAGAAATGGGGGACGTTTCTGGTTGTCACCACGGTGGGCATGCTGCAGACGTTGGATGGGGGGCTGGATGCACTGCATGTGGGTGGTGGAGCCCTTTCTCAGGGAAGTTCTCTGAGAGAGTTGCCATCCTGGCTGGTGGCACAAAGGCAGGTGGGGCTTCCCGATCTGCGTTCACCTGCAGGAGCAAGCCTTCTCTCAGGCAGAACCCCACCCTTGGTCCACCAGGCACCCATTGGACCCTGGGAGGCAGAGGGTGGAAGTAGGGGTGCTGCAGCTGCTGTAACGGCCCATCCTTTGCATGTAGGGCACCAATGGCTCACAGATCTGGGACACCTCATTCACCATCCAGGCTCTGCTGGAGGTACGTGGCTTTGTCTCCTCATCCAGCTGACCTTCCTGTGCACCTGAGCCCTCACGTCCACCCTGCTGAGCTCATGCCTGCTGTGCCTTGATGCTCCTGCTGGCCTGGGCCTCACAGCCTCTGGTCATGACACTGTGGTGGTGGTGGTGGGCTTGCCTGGCGGCCCTAGATGTTGGACTGGGTTGGGGGCTTCAGGAGGGCGGGGGGCTGGAGGCTGTATGAGTAGGAGAGCCTGGTGAGGGCTGTGAGAGATCAGGGCAGTGTCCCTGTGTGGGTGTGGACATTTTTGAGCAGGTTCTGCTGGCGGGAATCAGGATGGTGGGTTCTGAGGATGTTTCTGGAGAGACTGAAGTCTGGGTCATGTGGGACCTTGGGACACAGTTGGGGCGGGGCGGGGCGGGTGGGCGCCGGCTCCACTTGCTTCAGTCTTGAGTTGTATCTCACTGGCTCAGTCTTCCTGTCTTTACAGGTGAGTGCGGCAGGAAGCCCTGCACTTCTGTCAGGTAGACTCTGGTTCCCAGTGGGCAGGACGTTGCCTGGACCGTGCTGGCTCGTGTGAGAGCCGCTCAGCTTTACTGTCCTGCTGTTTCTTCCAGGCGGGTGCGCACCACAGGCCTGAGTTTTCCTCCTGTCTGCAGAAGGCGCACGCATTCCTGCGGCTCTCACAGGTGAGTGAGCCCTGTGCTTGGGGCTCGGAGCAGGTGCGGAGCGGCCTCAGGGCCAGGGACTCCCAGGGCAGAAGAGACCTCCTTGCCTCTGCCCTATGCTGCTTCCTCCCCAGCCTGTCTCACCTCCATCCGCCTTGGGGCTAGTCTTGCTCCGGGGAGTCCTACTGGGGCCTGTCACCAGCATGGGTGCTGGCCGTTTCTGCATCCTGTTCATGCTGGAGCCGTCATGTGCAGAGGGCTGGGGCTGGCATGTGGTGGGGTCGGGCTGTGTCTCCCAAGCTCACAGCCTACTCAGCACCCCTGGTGTCTCTGAGGCATCTCACGCCAGCTGCCGTCTCTTCCTCTTGAGATCACTTGCAGTGAATGCCACTGTCCATCCTGCCAGATCAGCTGCCCCATCAGACCCTTCATGAGCCTCTGATTTGACTATCTGTGTCTCATACCTGCTGGCACCCCCCATCTGGTTTCAGCCCTTGCTGTCTGATGGTACTTTCCAGCAGTGGTGGGCTGAGTGGGCCTTGCGGCTCTAATGGCAGCTGTGGCCAGCAGCAGTGCCAGCTACCCAGCACATCCTACTTCTCTGATCCTGCCCAGTTGGTCTCAGTGACATCCCAGGTAGCAGCAGCGTAGGCCCCTCCCTGCCTTAGTGGTGACGTGTCTTTCTCCTTTTCACATGTGCCCCTTGATGTGGTCCAGATCCCAGATAGCCTTCCTGACTACCAAAAGTACTACCGCCAGATGAGCAAGGTATGTGTGAGTGACCCCCAGCCCTGCCCTGAGCCCTGGGAGAGGCTGCCCTGCTTAGCTGGTCCATTCCTTTGAGAAGGGTTCTTCCTGTCCTTGGGCATCCTGATCTGGTAGATTCCTGGCAGGGGCCGATGCTTCATCCTGAGGCTGCCTGGCATGGGGGTTTCTTTGTGTTGCCATGGCACAGTCTGCACACATGTTGGTGTGCTCAGAGCAGTTCAGGCAGGCATATCACACAGATGTCAAACAAATGGCTGAAACATAAGCCAGAGTGTTGCGGGGAAGGCATAGAGAGGAAGGGACCCCAGCACCGGCACCAGGCTCTGGGCTTGTAGGTGCGGGTTGTGGAATGAGGTGTGGGTGCAGCCACTGTGGCCTTTTCACAGTGGGCTTAGGAAGGTGCCTGTGCTCCCGTCCTGGCCTGTAGTGAGATCTGAAGGCACTGAGGGTGGGAGTCCATCCAGATGTGCCCTTTGCAGAACCAGTGGCTCGGTAGAGGTGACTGTGGGTGGTCTTGAGGACCAGGGTGTGGTCACTCCCCATCCCATGGTCACAGCTTGTGCTCTGCAGGGCGGCTTCTGCTTTAGCACGCTGGATAGTAGTTGGATTGTCTCTGACTGCACAGCCGAGGCCTTGAAGTCCGTGCTGCTTCTGCAGGAAAAGTGTCCCTTTGTCACTGAGCATGTGCCCCGAGAGCGGCTCTGCGATGCTGTGGCTCTGGTGAGTCTGTGGTCCCACGCCCCCCATGCACCTTGAATCCTCCTGACTAGCTGGGGGCTCCTGTCCATGGGCTCCATCTCAGGAAACACACAGGGCCAGGCTGCAGGAGCTCTCCTTGGCCAGCGTTTGTGTTAGGAGAACCAGAGGCCCTGGCTGGGCCAGCAGAATGCTTGGGCTGTACACAGGGTCCTGTGTTGCAGGAGCCAGTGCCGGGCCCAGCCATGGAGGCTGGGGAGGCTGGGGAGGCTGGAGGCCCATGAGATTTCTCTCTGGATCCAGAGGCTCAAGGACCTGTCGTGTCCATACTTAGGCTCCATGGGCCTCTTTTTGGGGGGGGGTGACAGTCTCTACTGGGTGTCTTAAGAAAAGATGAGAACTTTTGTTTATTTTTGTGCCAAATCCTTACAGCATGTTTAGGTTTTCTGCCTGTTTTACCATGGAAACCCTACTCTGTTTCAGCAGTACACGTGTTCTATAGGTGGACGAGCACTCAGGTGGTCTATAGGTGGACAAGTATAGGTGGACAAGTATAGGTGGACAGGCACTGTATTAGTCTGTTTCTGTTGCTTATTACAGAATACTTGAAACTGGGTGATTTATAAAGAAAACAAAATTTACTGCTTACAGTTTCTGAGGCTGGGAAGTCCAGAGTACAAAGAACACATCTGGTGGTGGCAACCATGACCCTTCATATTGCCAGCTGGTGGAAGCAGAGAGAGCAGAGAGAGAGAGAGAGAGACAGACAGACTCTTCTCTTCTTTTAAAGCCCTCAGAATCATGCCTCTGACAACCATGACCCTTCATATTGCCAGCTGGTGGAAGCAGAGAGAGCAGAGAGAGAGAGAGAGAGAGAGACAGACTCTTCTCTTCTTTTAAAGCCCTCAGAATCATGCCTCTGACCACCATTTTTAATCCATTCACTACTGCACAGTCCTACAATCCAATCATCTATTCAAGGCTCTACCCTCTGACCACCATTTTTAATCCATTCACTACTGCACAGTCCTACAATCCAATCATCTATTCAAGGCTCTACCTCTCAATTACCACAATAGGATTTCCCACCCTCTTAACAGTCACAGTGGGGACCAAGTTTCTAATATGTAAAACTTGGGGGACACAATTAAGCTTCACTGAGTGTTGGGGGGATATAATCCACTACAGGCACCCACCTGCTCTATAGGTGGGTGGCCTCTGCGTGGTCTGTAGGTGGATGGGTGCATGTGAGTTGGTGTGTGTCCCAGAGGGCTGCTCACAGAGGCTATGAGTGATGGGGCTGCATCTGCTGCCTTGGGCACCCAAGTGCTTGCTTAACGAGAAAATCGGCTCCTTGCGCCCTATCCCTATCCCATTGGTTGTCAGCCTTGGGTGCTTCTGGAAAGCTGGGTCACAAACTGTGGGCCCCACATGTGCTCAGTGTGTGGTGAGTTCTCATGATGTTCCCTCTCTGGTTCTAGTTGATGAATATGAGGAATCCTGATGGAGGGTTTGCAACCTACGAGACCAAGCGTGGGGGGTACCTGCTGGAGCTGCTGAACCCCTCGGAGGTCTTTGGTGAGTGGTCGCCAGAATGCAGTGCACAGAGCCAGGGCCATGTTCTTCCCTTACCAGGGCTGTGCCTGCAAGGCTTGTATGGAGCCCTCCCTGAGCCCCGGTGTTCTCTGCTCCCCTAGCTCTTGGGGATGGCAGGGTTCCTTGTGTTGTGGGTGAAAGGGCTGTGGTTCCATCTTGGGGGTTGGTAGAAGATCCAGATGTGATCCCACCAGACTGTCCCCTGTTCTGGCCCAGGTCCTTGTGTTCTGTGGGGGCCGCTGTATGTCGTGAATGCACCTGCAAGGTGGCATTTGTGGGGACCTGGGTGCATGTGGCCCCTGTGGCCTGTTCTGGCCGGCGCAAGTTCTTTTCTTCTGGTTGACCTTTGGACGCCTCCTGGGCCCCTCCCTTCTGGTCTCTGTTTATTTTGCTCCTCTACCTGTCAAACATGGTTTTTCAGGGTAGGGTGCAGGTTTCTGTCCTGGGTCAGCACGCAGTTCTCTTCCTCATGTAGCACAGATGTGCAGTTCCCCCCTATTGTCCCCCACCCCTACCCCATGGCTGTGTAGCTGGGGCTGGAGGTTGTTTGCTCAGAGACCAGTCAGGAAGGCACGGTCAGACGCTGCAGCATAGTTTGGCCTGAATTGCAGGCCCAGAGCACCCAAGGCAGAGCTCACATGGCTTGGTGCTTCTTGATTTCCCAGGAGACATTATGATCGACTATACATATGTGGAGTGCACCTCGGCCGTGATGCAGGCACTGAAGCATTTCCACAAACACTTCCCTGACCACAGGACAGAGGAGATCAGGTGAGGAGGCCTCGGTCCGGGACATCCCGCCCCTTAGATTGGGGCCACCAAGTCGGGCCTGGCTCTGACATGGTGTCCTCTGGTGCAGAAAGGTAGCTGTAGAACGACTCATTCAAACATGGAAGGGGCCCAGATGTTCCTGAATTTAGTCGTGTGCCCCAAACTATATCAAATATTTGTGTATTGGGGGCTGAGAATAGCACAGTTATAAAACAAAGGTGGGTTATTTTTCATGTCTTCTTAATGTTAAAACAAGACCTACACACCTAAGCCCACTTGTGTCTGAATAAATGGCAGTTTTTAAGTAACCTGTTGAAGGGTGACAAATACAGAGAAAGGTGCAGACCCTGCGTGCAGCGCCCGTGTCTGTCACCCAGCGGACATATCCATGTGGGCAGCGCCAGACTCGCTGGCCTCTGGAGAAGGGGCTGCCGCCTGCCTTCTCAGTCAGGGGCTGCTGTCGCTTGCTCTGGACCTCAGACACGGGGAGTCCTGCAGCATGGGCAGTGAGGTTTGGCCAGGTGGCTGTGGCTCACCTCTTCCCTGCCTCAGGCTGCTGGTGGATGCAGGTGCCTGCCGTCTGTACGTTATTATGGAGCATCCTCCTGTGGACACTTTGTTACTTGTCTTTTGGAGCACGGATGGGTACCTTGGAATGGCATTACAGCTTTCATAGATTCTTCTTTATCCTGTTACTATTATGTTTTCTGTTTTGAATGTTAAGCCTGGTATAGGGTGGAGAATCCATCTAGGCCTGGAGTTTTCTTTGAGGGGAAATTTTTAATTATGGGATCAAATTCTTTAATAGTTACAGGACTGTGCAGATATTCTATTTTTTTTGTATTAGTTTGGGACTTCTTCCATTTCAATTCAGCTTTCTGTTGAGTGGCCTGAAGCTGCTCACAGTGGAGGCTTGAGCAGCTGGAGACTTGACTTTGAGATCTTGGCTTTTCTCTTGATGATCTTACTGATCTTTTGAAAGAAACCATCTTTAGTCTTTGATTCTATCTGGTATATATTTACTTATTTTTAAAATGTGTTTATTTTTGTTTTCATGAATTTTTACTCCTTATTGTTTTCTTTCTACTGTATTTCTTTTTCTAAGTTGGATACTTAGATCAATCAATGATTTTCAGGCTTTCTTCTATTTAAATATGCAACTAAGGCTATGAATAAGTTTTGATATATCACTCAGTTAAAAATGTTTTCTGTTTCTATTGTGAGTTCTTTGGTCCATGTGCTATTTAGGAGTGTGATACTTCATTTTCAGAAATTCTGAGGATTTCTAATTGTGTCTTTGTTAGGGGGCCCGGTTTTGATATATCACTCAGTTAAAAATGTTTTCTGTTTCTATTGTGAGTTCTTTGGTCCATGGGCTATTTAGGAGTGTGATACTTCATTTTCAGAAATTCTGAGGATTTCTAATTGTGTCTTTGTTAGGGGGCCCGATGGAACAGTGATTTTCTTCTGACCTGGCAGGTGGTATAGTCCCGAGGGGTACAGTGTCTTGTGTTGTCTCATCCCTGGCATGTGCTGCTCTGCAGTGGGGTCCTTTCCTTGGGGTTTGAGTCCTCAGCCATGCTCACAGAATTAGCCTTTCTTTTTTTTTTTGTCTTTTTCCGTGTCTGGCATTTTTCCGTGTCCGGCAACGGATCGCAACCCTCAGTGTTGCCCCCGTACCGGACCGGGGACCGGCAACGGAATTGCAACGCTTGGTGTTGCTCCCGCGCCTCGCTCAGCCAGTGAGCGGGAACCAGTCTGTATGTGGGATCTGAACCCTCGGGCGGGAGCGCCGCCGCGCTTCCCAAGCGGTGCACTATCCAGTGCGCCACCGGGCCAGCCCCTAGCCTTTCTTTTTAATGTATCATTTTCTAAAGCTCATTGTAATAAAAGTAGAGCATGTTCTTTGAAGCCTTGGAAAATACAGAAAAGTGCAAAGAAGGAAGTAAGTCGTTCCTCTCGCCCCAAGAGGAACCTGTTGTTACTGTTTGATCTCCACATCTTCAAGGTTGTTTCTGGGCTGCTCCTTCTACGTGACTGGCTTGTTTTGCCAGGCAAGGTGTCTGGACGCAGGGGACAGTGTCCCCAGCTGCTGCCTTTCCCTCCAGTGTGAGGTGTAGTGGTTGCAACTGTCTCATCATTTTACCTACTCAGTAGCCTCTTGGTTATTTATTAATTTTTACTGTTATTTCCCAGCTTCTTCCTATTTTAACTTAACTAGTGTTCTCGTGTTGAATATCTGTTTATGACTTTTATCATTCCCTACGGCTGTGTGGGCTTGCGGTCGGCTGGCCTGGGTGGACCCTGCCTGTGCCCCTTCTTTAGGTCAGTTTTCTGCTCTGGCTCCCCCACCCCCGGAGCTAGAAGGACCAAATAAGACGCCACAGGAAAGTGCCGGGGTGCATGTGGCACATGATGAGTGTGCACAGTGCCGTCATCGTGTAGAGCCGCATGCTGTGCTGTGCAGAGCAGAGCTGTCTGCACTTCTTTGGTGACGACTTAGCTAGAATAAATACTCTTTCCAATGTTTATAGGTCATTTCTATTTCTTGTCTTGTGACATGCCATTCGTGTCCTTGCCAGTTTTCTTACCGGCATGATTTTTTTTTCTTTTTTTATTTATTTATTTATTATTTTTATTTTGTCAATATACAATGTAGTTGATTATTGTGTCCCATCACCGAAACCTCCCTCCCTCCTCCCTCTCCCCCCTCCCACCCAAGTGTGTCCCCTCCATTTTCTTGTTGTAAGAACTTCAAAAAAAATTGTGGTTGTTATATCTTCCTCTCCCCCCCCCCCCCATTTTTTTATTTTTTTTGTTGTTTTTTGTTTGTTTTTTTTTGTGTGTGTGTGAGTGTGTGTGTGTGTGAGTGT